GGGAGAGGAGGGGGCGTGTAGGAGGCACTGAGGAAGGAGGCGGCCATGAACAGAGGGGGTGCCATGAACAGAGGGGGTGCGGGGTGCCATGAACAGAGGGGCACCATGACCATAGGAGTGCCATAAAATAAGGAAAGCATGTTACGGACGGCAGTAAACTAGGAGGTCAGGTCAGGTCAAGTCAAGACAAAAAAAAAGGTATTAAATTCGGAGGTACGGAAGGAAAAGAGTAATTGTAAAGGAGGGAAGAACTATGAGAAAAGAAATGGGGGAATATTAGAGAGGGAAGAAGGGAGAATAAGGAAGGAGGAAGAATTATGACAATGAGACATGGATAAAGGGGTGACAAGGGTGATGGAAGGAGTGGTAAGGTATATGACAAGGGAGAGGAGGAGGAGGAAGAAAGGAAGAAAGCTGGAAAGGAAGGCAGGAAAAAGGGAGTCACACACACACACACACACACACACACACACACACACACACACACACACACACACACACACACACACGAAGGAGACAAAATTTCAGAATGATTTTTGGACGCTAGAACATGATGATGATCGGGGGGAGGGGGGGAGGGGGGCCTGGGGGGGTGGGGGGCTTGGGGGGGGGTTAGTGGAACAATCGATGTTGGGAACGAGGAGGAGGACACGTGGAACAAACGGGTGGCAATTAAGTAAGGTGGGGGATCAAGGGGGGGAAGGAGGTGAGGGAGGGGAAGGGGAAGGAGGGGGAGGGGAAGGAGGTGAGGGGTTGACGGGGAGAGAGGGGAGGTGAGGAAGCTGCATGGCCTGTCACCTTCACTTAAAAAGTAATTAAGTATATAATTGAATCACTGTCTGAAGTTGTGTCTCTGTGAATGCGTCAAGCTTTACTGAAATTAGGTGACCATTTTTTTTGGGGGGGGGGAGGCAGCTTAAGAAAAACGTCTTATACATTTAGCTGCGGTAGTGGTAAGCTTACTTCTAACTTAACCTAACCCAACCTAACCCAAGCCAACCCAACCCGACCCGACCACATCTCAGCATTTTAACAATTCCTTCAGTTTTCATCTCAGCCAATTTACATCCCGTGAAAATGTATTCGTTGAGTTGGCGATAATACCCACAGCATCTCTCCTTCCTTCGGTGCAAATCACCTTCAAGTTTTCATCAAATGTCTTCCATCTTTCACTATTCTTTCATAACCATTCATTCATTCATTCATTCATTCATATTTAATAACAATTTCCTCTGTGTTGCTTCCTGTCTTGCAACATTACCCGGTATTTATATGCACCTTGAGCGGCGTCTTTCCAGAATGCAATACCGCTGCCGCTTGAGGGATTAATATTCTTATAAACGCTTATATGAGTTACTGTTATTTCCTAGTTTATTCTTTTTTTTAGTTTTTTTTATTCTTCTTTTAACTGCCAAGAAAATACCTGGACAGATCATTTGGTTGGGTTAGGTTAGATTACGTTAGGTTGGGTTAGGTTAGGTTAGGTTAGGTTAAGTTAGGTAAGGTTTGACAGAATGATTGACTATCACACTGTCGTTACATTACTTGACTCAATAGACCAATACCGCTATTAAAATATTCAATGAAAGATCCTTCCTTCCTTCCTTCCTTCCTTCCTTCCTTCCTTCCCCACCACCAACAACGCTTCTGTCCCATTCTTGGTATAGTGTGGATAGGCAAAAGTATAGTGCACATTATACACCATAAACAAGAGGCTATATAGTGATTGGTACAGGTGTGAAGCGGCCCCCTAGTGAACACTACACTGTACAGGTAGGTCTCAGGTGTACCATATAGCTCTGCCTTCTAATTAACACCAACGGGAAGAACAGCACACAGCAGGTAGTAACGGGAAGGCCCTCATTGGCTAGTATACAGAGACAGGAGAACATACATACATACATACATACATACATACATACATCTGACATACATACATACATACATACATCTGACATACATACATACATACATACATACATACATACATACATACATACACGTAATGGTAGTTGTTGCAGTGGTAGGTGGTAGTAAGATGGTGGTGATTACAGTGGTAAGACTGGGCTTCGTCACACTGGTAAAGGGGTAAGGGGAGGGGTAAGGGGAGGGGTAAGGGGAAGGGGGTAAGGAAGGGGTAAGGAAGGGGTAGGGAAGGGGGGAAGGGAAGGGAGGGGAAGGGGTAGGGAAGGGAAGGGGAAGGGTAGGGGAAGGGGAAGGGGGAAGGAAGGGTAAGGGAAGGGGGTAAGGGAAGGGGGTAAGGGGAAGGGGGTAAGGGGAAGGGGGTAAGGGGAAGGGGGTAAGGGGAAGGGGGTAGGGGAAGGGGGTAGGGGGTAAGGGGAGGTTATACCAATATATGTAATTAGGAAGGAGAAGTAGGGTGTCAAACGCCCTCCAACCACGCCAGTACAATCATTTATGGATGGTAGGACACATTCCACCACAATCCACCACAATCCACCACAATCTCCGACACTCCACACCACTCCATCAATCTCCA